TGGATTTGACTTTGCCAGGTAGCAGTTAAAAACTGCTGTACTAATTGAATGTGTTTTTGGCTTGAAGCATGTGTCCTATTTGAGCCATTATTCTATCACTAGGTGAGGCTTTAAAATGAGTTTGAAAAGGAACAATTAAATCTGATCATTTCTTTGTGCTGTAGAAAAAAATTATATTGAACTTCACAAAATAAGTAAATATTTTCCTTTTTTTAATCAAAGTAGATGTGACACCTCATTGCTGATATCTCCATCCAGGATGGTGTCACAATTAACCAGAGCACTAAATGAAGCCTCTATTATTAGAAAAAAAAGAAAAACAGAGAAAACATAAAGATAAAAGTATAGTGGAGGATTTTCGCAAATTTTTGAAAAGACCTGCCCTCTCCACTGCACATGCACAACCCTTACCATTCACTCCTGTGAGGGAATGCCTATTAAACGCGTGCTAGAGCATGCACAAGCCCAGGAGGTGCAGGGAAGCAATGATGGATCTCATCTCACCCAAATTTATACATAAAAAAGTTCTCCCGCAAATAATAACTACTCGTAAAATTTAAAAAAAATCATTATATCCTAGTATCTGTATGTGTGTGCTGCAGTAAAATTTTGGACATGTTTGCGGGGTAAATAAGGATTTGTGGCCACCGTATAACTACCAATGGTGCAAATTACAAATAAACTTATCATCTCTGGAAAGTTACAATAGAGGTAGATAACTTTTACTAGCAGTAATATGAAATGGATTTCTCCAAATAGCATGCCAAACTTTACCTGTCAAGTAGAAACTTTGCAACTGCTGCTTCAGTGGGAAGCCCAACCTTTGCTTTCAGTGTACGCCATCGTGTGAATGAATCTCCCAAAAACACTCTGGTCTTGTTAATCTCTTCTGTGACCTTTCCCTTCTTCTCATACACTTCATAGACACTTTGTTTTTATGACTCTCAGCCATTTTCAGAGAACTGCGGTGAGAAAGGCGAGCTTGACTGGATGAAAATATAGCTCAACACACATCTACACCTGAAATTGTGCATGTGCAGAAAAAATATAGTTAGCTGGAGATGAGCATGTAGGACCGTCTTATGTAAACATATCACCAGAATGATGGACAGTTAGGAGGACCACTTATTTAGATGATCCTCCCGGAAATAAAAGACTGTCCTCTATACCTTTAAAGGTCGAATAAAAGAAAAAAAACAAAATTAGAATTTAAGCAGCATAATGAAAAGTAGTTTTTATGTCTTCCAGTATCCTAAGCCTTTAGCAGCATAGTTAGATTAGGAAAATCTGGGCCACTTTAACTATAAGCTTTATTAAAAAGGAAAGTTTTAAGCCAAGTCTAAAAAGTAGATCTCTCTGACTAAAACTGGTTGTAGGTTCCACAAGAGCTTAATAACTAAAATATCTGCCTCCTATTCTTCTTTAAGAGATTATAGGAGCTACTAGAAATCATTGATACATTGATACTAATCATTGAAAATAAGCTTTCCCATATTTTGTCCACCTTTAATTCTTTTTCGTTTAGAGCACTAAGACCACCAGGGATTATAAATGTCATTTTCTGCTTGTTGTGGGGAATTATTTTCGAATAAGCTTAATACTTAATAAGCTTGAGTGTGCTTTCTTTGAAAGGTTATCTTCTGCCTGAGGGGGAAAGTGATTTGCTTCTAACTTGGACAATAACAATCAGTATCAGCAGCTGCTGAAAATATACTGAAAATATTACAGTAGCTCAAAATCGGGCAGAAGACAAATAGTCACATTTTTATACTTGAGAACATTTCCAAGTTGACCTACCTGTTAGTGTGATTTCTCCCCAGTTCCCCATAAAGTGCTTAAAAGAGGAAATCCTTAGTCAGGCATCGCAGGAAGTTCAGTGACCTTTTTAGCTCTGCTTAATGTTTGGAGAAATTCCCCACACTCACATCAACACTCCTTTTTTATTGAATACAGCTGTACTTTCCAGCCCTGTCAGAAGTCATTTCTTTTTCTCCTTTTTCTCTTTAGGATTTCTTGTTCACCGTTGTACTCTCTTCTATTTTTCTTCACCTTGCTGAAAGCACAATGGGTGAAGCCAGAGTAGAGATGTGAATCCAGACTTTCATCTCCCTTGATGTCTCTCATGGCTGCATGTCTTTCCTGATTTTTTTTATTGCTTTTTCTTTATCCTATCATGGCTTTCTATCTGCAAATGTCAGGATTAGAATTGAAAATATTTTCTTAGCATCTCTGTGTCATTCTAAATTATCTGAATCTCAATTAAATAAACTCCTCACCTACCTGTGAGTTTTGTTGCATTAGTTACGTCTCCTCAGAATCCTATAAAACAACCAGGAAATCTGAGCTAAAGTTTTGGAGAAAGTTAGAGCAGAGTTAAGCTAGCAAATAATAACCCAAGTTTTTAACATCTCGTAGAAAACTTCTTAATCCATCATCTGATAATGGAAAAAGGAGCAAAAATGGAAAGCCAGCATGATAACCAAGCCACTACAGTGTCAAAGTGTTCAACAGGAGCTTAAATCCCAGAAACAAGAAGGCTGATTTAACTGGATAAAAATTATCCATGTCTTACATTAGTGTTTTAGCTCATAAATAGTTTAATAATGACAGAAGTTTAGAGGAGGGGTATAGCAGCCTAGACTTTTATAGTAATGGGCTCTATGCACAGCTCCACTACGTCCTGAATTTAAGGTAGCTCCTTTGTTTCCTGTCTTTCATTACTGGACGAACTGATTAATCCAGGTGTGTCTGGCCAGTTACTTAGGTCATACACACCTGGATTAATCAGTGAATCCAATCATGAAAGACAGGAAGCAAAGGAGCCTCCTGAAGTTCAGGAAGTGGTGGAGTTGTGCATAAAGCCTATTAGCAGAATTAATTCAAAGATATGTAGATAATAATAGGCATCTCTAGTTTTAGGGGTACTCAATTAATCTTTAGGTGTCCCCAGGAAATCTGTCGCTATACCCTTTATCTTATGGCAAACAGTGACAAAACAACTGCCATGTTTTTTTTAGGTACAATCTTACAGATTTTTTTTTTTCACTTATTAGTATACTATCACACTGTTTTTTTTTTTATTAACTTGATTTCTCACAAAAAAAAGAAATTGCTGCCATTCCTTCTTTATTATTTCTTTAAAATGGAAATAACCCTGAACCATTGCTTCTCATTGGCCGTCACTGGCTCATTTCATTGACCAGACAATGCCATGAGCACAGTTGCTGTCACAAATAATGGCATTGGTTTAATATTATGCAATATAGGACTTTCTGAGAAATAGCACACTGTAATCTTCTTGTTTCTAGTTGAATTAAACATCAATGCTTCACCCATAAAACAAATCCTAGTGTTCTGTGTAAATGGTCTTGTGAAAGTATAAATACAGAATTACATAAGTGACATTGAAATATAATAGAGGTGCAGAAAAAGAAGCTTGAGTTCCAGACTAGATGCTCCCTGCAAGCCAGAGCTCGAAGGCTTTTTTCCTTTATTCCACTATTAGGTAAGTCTTCATAAAATGATATAGACTGCTTCCTGTGTTTCATTTGAGCAATTTCCATGTTTAAAGCCTGATCAATGTGCTTAAATCTACCTTGATTACATAGGTTTTGGTAATACAATAAAAAATTCTTCATCAATTGCTCAGAACTTTTCTCTACTTCTTTTCTCTCTTTACAATAAAAGAAACCTTTAACAAGACTTATAAAGATAATCAAAACAAAACGAGTATTATTCTGTCATGTCAACATATTAGTTTGTCTTATTAAAGAAAAAAGAAATTTATAGATTAAAAATTAAACATCAGCATCGAGCCTGCATCAAATGGTTTTAACTGTTGCCAGGATTTATCAGCTGCAGTGGCAATTGATCCCCAGGTGCTCAATCAGCTTGTTAGTATGGTTGTTGCTTATTAAGAGTATAAATGTCGAGCCAGCTCACTTTTCCAAAGTTACATAAAAAAATAGTAAAACTTGGATCAAAAACCTATAAATAAAAAGGGTTATTTTATGTGGGTGCTAAATTAGTTGGCATACTCCCAGAGCAGCTGCAAAGGAGCAGTTCAGTCTGAGGTGATAAACTATAATTTTCTCAAAGATAAGATGTCCAAATTATGTATCCTGTATATTCACTGGTCTACTGATGCTGAATTTGTCACAGAATTAAAATTTTTCAGTTTCTGACACATACAGTACTATGCTGTGAAAAATTACTTGTCCTGTTTTACATTTAATCTAATTTGCATTTAAACTATAACTATTTAAACTGTTGAAATAAGAAAAAGTTGAATATCATTACAAAAAAAGAAACATTTTGTTAATTAAGACAAACAATCTTTTCAAACTATAAAAGCCAAAACAATAGTATTGTCACTGGTTGAATTTAGCAGTAATTTTTCTATGTGTTTTGTAGAATCTGTTTCTATTCATCTAAGTTTACTGCAATTTTGATTGCAGTAAAATTTTGCAAAAAATGAGAATTGTTTTCAATTATTGTTGCAAGCCAAAAATACTTTTTTGGTTGAATATAAAAAAAAAAACAACTTTGTAAACTTTTTAAATAAAGATAATTTTGAATAGATGAAATTTTAAATAAGATGCAATTGAGAGATTGCATCTTGAAAAAAAAAGGGTTGAGTGTAACTTTACTGTTTTCTCATAGATTTTCATAGATTTTTTGTCTCAATTTATTTTTCCAATAATAGGTCTTGCAGATACATTTTTCAGATTACATTGTTTCAAATTATTATTATT